TGGCTCCAAGTACCCGATGATATTGAAACCTTAAATCTCTTCGCTGAATACTTCCGATAATATTTCGCAACTGCTAATTCCGATCCAACTACTAATTATCCCTAACTGATCACTAACTCGATTCCGATTTCTAACTTGGTCATTTGAGAACTTCACTCTGACGCTTTACATAGCATAAAATATGTTTGTGCTCCTGGGTGTGATGGTATTCCACCATGTATACTGAAATAAAGCTCTGACGAGCTAGGTGGTGTTATTTCAAAGATTTTTAATCAGTTCTTGAAATCAAGAGTTTTCCCTTTATGTTGGAGGAGTAGTTTCCTTACTAAACCTTATGTTTCTTCATTCCAGCATGACTTTCTGAAAGGAAGATCAACTGCCACGAATCTCTTAGAATTTACTTGCCATTTTTTCAACGCTTCTTCTACAGATGTCGCATGCACTTACTTAAGTAAAGCGTTTGACTTATTGATTTTCAGACCTTGGCTTCTCTTCGTACATAGTGAAATGGATAAGCTTTTATCTGCATAATCTGCATCATTCATGGCTTTTGTTAACTTCATCAGCTCGGATGAATTTCCTTTGACGTATAGCGCCCCTTAAGGCAGACACTTACGACATCTTTTATTTAATCTATACATTAATGATCTCCTCTCGGTGGTTAAATTCAGCCATATCTTAATGTACGTTGACGATGTTAAACTGTTTTCGTCCTTTGCCAAGGAATCGTAATCGATTCGATCGTGGATTTAAAACCCCTTATAGCCTTAGTTGCTAGTACTTTAAGACTGTATTATTTCTCTGACTAAATTAATAATAATAATAATAATAATAATAATAATAGTAATAATAATAATAATATTTCTAATAAATTAAATTTATATCTGAGCTTTGTTCATTTTTAGTCGCATTCAATTCGAATCAATTTTCTGTAACCCATGCAGGAATTTGTCAACGAAGCCAAGTTCTTGCTTTATGACTAAAACCAGCCATAACAATAGTAAAAAAGAAACATATCTTTTTAAATAAAAAAAAAGTGGAAATCTATTGCTAATTTTACACTCACACAATTATAAAATTACATAAGAGTCTTTGCAGGTTTATATTTAGTATTCTGCTCGTTTGATATTTTTCCCAACAAGGATTTAATCGTGCACTCCCAGGCTGAAAGTTTTCTACCATTCATAATGAAGCTCCTTAGTGTGTTCTACGGATTTGTGTTGATTTATTACACACTTGTCCAACACGTATGTATATACAACAGTTGATTAATAAATAGTTATTTGTCACGAATTTGGAAAAAGTTTTCAATCATAACTTATTACCAAAAAAACCTTAGAAACTCCGTTGTTAATTGTAGAGGTAAAGCAAAATGAAGTGTGCAACTAAACGAAACTACTTACTTTAGAAATAACCTAAATTATTTCGACGTACCAGCATTATTTTTTTAAAGGGAAGATCCACGTCCGTTAATCTTTTAAAGCTACCTTGTAGTGTTTTTCAAGTCTTCTGGGAACATAAGCAAACCGATGTGATTTATACTGATGTTTGATAGACCTTCCTAAAATCACCTGATTTATAAATTACCATATTTGGGCTCCTCAGAATATATTGTCTCTTCGTTCAGTAGCTACTTAATGGGTTGTTCTCAGAAGGTGCTCTTTGTCACTACTCTGTTACAAAAAGTTTCTTTCGTCTCTGTTTTTTCTCGGGATAGTCACCTAGTTCCACTCTTGTTTGTATTATTTATTAATGACTATCGTATGTGCTCAATATTCTTAGAGATTTAGGAGTGATATTTGAGTTTAGACTTACTCCACGTTAAGCAAGGCTAAATTAAACGCTAAACGCTTATATAATTCTTTCGCCGTTTCTGTAGAGTACTCAGTTATTGTCTCGTCAGTTATAAGCGTTATAGCGAAGTCTTAGAATCAGTTCAACGTCATTGTTAAAAATCCTGAGATAATCGTTTATACATTTTACCATATGACTGCAGATTAAAGCTGGTTGACTTATCATCCCTTGTAAGCGGTCGTGATATGTTATCTGCTCTATTTATGGTCAAATTAGTAAGAGATATTATTTACTCTTCGACTTTATTTGAACATGGTTCTTTCACCTTCCCTCTTAGAGTTTCCTGACACTATTTGTCAATAAAATTATTATAATGTCGTCCCAACTAACAACTTTTAATCCGTTTCGAGTTTTGTATGTATAGTGTAATTGTTATTATTACTACTGGTTTGATCTGACTGTTAATTATATCAGAATTATTGTTTTACTTCGATTGTTGCCAGACTATCTATGCAACTTTGCATCACAGGGATTGCTAAGTGCGTGAACGAAAGAGTCTTATAGGTGGAGATTTTGTTTGACGTTTTTGGTGGTTTGGTTTTGCTAGGTTTTTTAGAAGGAAAGATGTCAGACGAGGAGAGGAAACGAAGTTTTTGAAGGAAAAAGACGTGTAAACTAGATGTCGAGAAAATTAAAGAGTCAATACGGAAAATTATATTATCTAGGATGAAATCCATAAAGAAAGTGCGATGTTGAATTATTTGTGAAACGACTGACAACAGTTTACGATATATTGTAAGACTGTGAAATAAATTACGAACAAGAAATTTTTATGAACAAAAAATTATTAGTGAAGAAAAAGAGGTGAGTTATTATGAATAGTTATTATGGAAGAAGACCAAAAATTATTTGATATACAACTATCGCAGCAACAATGTAAATATGCTACATTATTTTGTATCTAATCTTTAGCCTCCTTACTAACACATTTTTAAATTACTACAGAAAAATAAATTAAAATGAAAATCTTTATACCGATGGAAGGTGCACTAATGAAACGCTCACGCATTGCTTGTACACAATTATATTTTATAACATGAAAATTTCAAGGCCAAAGCGGTCAAGTTAAGCATATGAAGAGAATATGAAACAATATAGAATGGAGAAAAAGAAAAGACAGTACAGACAGTTTCGGTAAAAGCAAAGGTGAAAAATCGACAGACTTCTTTTTTAAGAAAGGAGCAAAAAAAAAAAAAGAAATGGGTCATTTGTATAGATGTTTTATCGTTAATGTTTTAATGAATTATAACAAAAATTAATATAGACCATGTATATATCTAATATGTAAAGATTGCACAATGATAAGAAAATGTATATATGTGAAAATATCAATGAAGTGGAGAAGTGTGGAGCGATGAAATGAAAAGATCGGCAATAACTTTAAAAATTGTGATAAGAAAATGTTTAGCAACAGAGTACGCATTTCTAAAACCGACAGCAAATCATTATGAAGTCAATGGAAGAATAAAAATTTCCAGGCGCTTGCATAAAAAGTACAGAAAATGTTTTTCAACTAACGAAATTAATGTTAAAAATAAAGATGATCTTTGATTTATGATAAATATTTATTAAAGCGATTATGAAATACCAAAGATAACGTGAGAGAAAGAGACAGCAAAAATTTTATGCTAGCCAAAGGTTTTTTTAAAACAAGGAACTGCACAAAAAGAAAACCTAATAAACGTTTAGTGGCAAACATTTCAACTTGGGTCACTTTCCCATTCATTTTGAATCGTTTGAGATTTATTTAAAATTTTATTTGCCGGATATACCGCTATATAATCGAAGAAGGTTTGATGAGTTTGATGAGTGGTGCTGTTAAAATATATACCTATTCCTCTTCATGTAAGTCTAAATAATTATAATCTGAACATGTAAGTGGTGACGACATCTATTTTAAAAAAATTTGTGTATAATTGACAATTTAAAAGATCATTGCGTTGTATATTGAGCATGCAATTTAATCTTAAAATACGAATTCTCTTCTTATAATTGATTTATTTTTATTGCTGTTGCTTTTTTTACATTGAGTTAAAAGGAATACATATAATACTTATAATACTATTATAATAAATGTTGTTGCGAAAGAAGAAAATGAAATAAAAGGGGTTTTCCAATAGATGATAGGAGGTCAGGCTGGAGGAGTCTCCGGAGCCAACTTCCGAGTTTCGCATAGACGTCATGGGCCGAAGACCATTAGATAGAATAGGGTGAAGAAAGGTTTAGGGCTTAAGGTATGCCCATTCGGTAAGCTAGGTTGCGTCGGTCCGTATGTTCGTTTAAGGGTAGGTATGTGCTATTATTTTCGGTGTAAGCGTGTGAGCAATGTCCGAGAGACAAAATATAAAATCATCCCCCATCTCCCGAACCAACTAGCTCAGTAACGGCACGTACATCCTTCTACTTAGGCTCTGGTTCTAAGTAAATGGCAATATTCAATTGCCCAAAAAAAAATTGTAGAAGTCCGTTTGCGATTATTCGTTTGATCAGGCAGACAGTTACGATTGACAGACATCGCGTTTTTAACGCTCGTTAGAGTGTAGAGTCTGGATTCTAAACATAATTAACAGTTACTTTATCAATTAATGTTTATGTGAAGAATCAAGATAAATAAATGGATAATTTGTAAGGGTTGAATCGCATTCATATGCTATCATATCTTCTATGCATCACACTAATGTTAATTCTTTTGTTGAATATGCTGGGCTCCCATGGCTGTCGCCGTTGCTGCTGTTACTACTGCAGATATTAACAATTTTTCTTTTAATACATTTAAATTCTATGTAATTAGTTTAAGAAATAATGTAGTCTAAATACTTATAATATTAGTCGCTTAATTTAGGTGAGGCACGTAATTGTGAAACCGAATGAAAACCATTTAAAATAGCGCTAAAATATTGAATAAAAATTTTTAATTTAAGTTAGCGACACTTGCAAGCTATAAAGCTTAAAATGGGTGAACAAATGAACCTCGATTCGCCCAGTGATATAGCAAGAAAAAAATTCGAATTAAGGCGAATGTAGTTTTCGTTTGCAATGTTTGTATGTTTCTCCTTTTGACAAACAATTCTAATTAAAAATCATTATTTAATGTGTGGTGCATTTTATTTAAAATTTTTTTTTCTTTGTACTCTTGGTTAACTCACCAGCACTGTGTATATAAACTCTGCCGTAATAAAGAGCAAAATCATTGTTTCCCTTTTTTTTTTAAGTGTGTACGTAGATGGGTATAAATAGGTGGTAGCTTTGTCTCTGCATGGAAATTGAAATTCAATCAAACTTTGGCATTTTTTTGTTTTCTTGTGTAATCCTCACTGTTTCCATCATTATCGCGACAGTTGCAACTGCTCCTTCATTCTTACTGATCTCCTAAAAGTTTTGTTATTTATTTCATTTTAATGCCTCACTGGTTGTCATTTAAACTTTAAGTGAAAACTTTGTTTTCCTTGTTTGGTTTCTTTTATACAAAATTTTAATTATGTTGGTCAATGCAGCGTAATGCACATCGCGTTGAGAATCTTGCCGTACAAGAAAATCATGAAAAACGTGGATATCGATAAAGAGCTTGAAATTTTCAGTAGCAGCATTGCTATTAAGTACTGAAGTTCTTAAAACAATGGTTATCTGCTGGTTGTATAATAGTTTTTCTTTCTTCTGATTTACGTTGAAATTTTTAATGAATTTTTTTTATTGAAATATTAATGCATTTTCCGTGGATGCCGGCGTTATAAATTTCGTACAACGAAAATACCAGCAGTAGTTATTGGCCATAATGTTGTCGGTACTGCAGCTGTCGATGTCATTTTTACTGCATGAGTAAATAGAAAATGCAAATTAGAACACATTTTCGATATTGATTTTTCTTAACAATGATACATATAAAACAACTGTGACATCGTTGGTTGTTGCCTGTCTGTTGGTTGTTGGGAAATTCAGTGACTTCTGCTGCGATTTGTTTTATTCTCACTTTTTTTTAAAATTTTTTTTATTTATTGTTGATTACGCTGTGATGAGATTATGTGCAACCATGGTTTCTAAAAATTAATGTTCGCATTTATTTGTCTACGCACTTGTGACTGTCCTTCTGCTGGTTTATAATTAATGGTAATATTGCCATCATTGTAGTGCTTTAAATTCGGGATATGTCTCATTGTGATCTTGTTGATACGTTCTGTTAGAGCTTTGCTTAAACTAATCGTAAAACTGCTTGGTTATAACATTGAAAATATTTTCTCCTTTTTCTTTCTTGTTAGTAGTTTTCAATGCAATTATAGATGGACGCGTACTTTGCGTATCTTTTAATGCTGGTTTTTCCTGAAAATATTTTGCAGAATTTAATTAAAAATACGTTCCATAGTAGAAAGAAAAAAAAAAAATTGTTCATTAGTTTTGTTTTGGATTTCTACATCGTATGAGATGATTACAATACATACTGCAAGGTCTAATTTGCAACAATGTAATGAATAAGTTCATTACGCATAAGAGCCATTGGATGATGACGTGACGTAAGCCTTAATCAACATATAATATGCGAATAAAAATTTGTTAAGCATTAAGTAAATAAAACTTTTCGTGTAATTCGTGTAATTACTGTCTTATTTATGAATACGTACTGTATTATATTATATATTATATAAAGTCATACGAAAATTTTTATAACGTGCAATACACATAAATATACTATATTCGTTATATCTACACCGCTTGTAGTACAAGGCTATATTAACTTTTTTTGAATATGTGCACCACCCAGAAGGGCTTGAAATAGACCCAAGTTTTGTTATACAGATCGATTCAGAAAGTGATTCTGGATAGACAGATGGGCAGACAAGAGTAAATCGATTTAAAATCACTTTTTGATTCGATCTAACCTTAACTGTCGGTCCGTCTGAGTATCGATTTTGTTTTCTTGCATTCAACCTACAGGTCACAATCTTTCAGATTATTTCATAAATTTTGGTCCAAGGACGAACGTTATTGAGAATAGTTCGGATAAGAAATCGTTTCAAGCACTTTCCAAGCGAAGTCATATTTTCAAAAGTCGTGATATGAGTAGCTGTAGGATGGTGTAAATTTTTAACATCTTCTTTTGATGTTGATAAAGATTTCAAATTTCAAAATTACGACTGTGAAGTCGCTACTTACACTATTTCTTCTTAAGATGTTAATGTCAGTTTTCTCGAAACTATTTTTTTCGAACTGAGAGTGTCTCCATTGCATTTCAATTCTTACCTTTTTCACTTGTAACTTCAACTATTGCTTCGTAATAATATTGCGTATCAAAACGCCTTATTGTTAAATACGGTCAAGCGTTAAATGTTATACACCACTTTGCCTAATACAATTCTTTGTAAGAAAATTATAATATATTCAGCTGTGATCGAATCTTTTATACTCATCACCGTTACCCAAAAAAGACAAAAAAAAAGTAAAAAAAACTAAATTTTCATGCTCTATAATATTTAATGGGCACAGCTGAATTTTTTACTTTCAAAATACAAGTTTTTGTCCCAGGGGCGTATGCACGTTTAGGCGTGTCCTGTGAAAAGTGTAGATAATTTTCAAATTTTTTTAGAAATTGGTAGGCGGTATATTCATTTTCGCTAATGAGAGAAGGTTTATCATAAATACTACACAGTTACGCAGACAGACAAATGGACAGATTAACATGTTTAGACGCAGTCCCAAATTTTATATGGGGTTTTTGAAGCTTGTTTCTGCGTCTTATTGAAGTTTTGACAAAATGAATATACCCTTCACAGACATGAAAAGCAAGAAGCAGAGTTTCAAAGATATCTTGAAAGATGGAGAGACAAAAGACGAACTACTTGGCCATACAAGAAACTATGTTCGTTGTAAAAACGAGTTACCAAGTCGACAGTTCCTTTCCTGAGAGCTCCGAAATGGAAAAAATCCAAAACAAAAGCAAAATAAATAAATTAACATAATCCAAATTCAGCACAATAAATACATGTATGTTAGATCACAATTTTATACTAATTTTATCATAATCACTATAATTAAACTTTATTGCTATGTATGGGTTATTTTTCGTCAAAAAAATTTATAAGGGAAGAAGTCCAAATACTGCTCCAATCCTAGTCAAAATTTTGCGCGTTCATTTAGCACCTTAGGTTGCTAACTGCCGTCAAATTCGTGGACAAATGTTAAAAATAGCAAACATTTTACAAATATTGGCTTCTCCAAATAGGTTGTTATGTCGCTATTTTATTTTCAATAGCGATCATCTTGCGTCGAAATATTCCGAATACTGTTATCTGCGGTGTCTAAACACTCAAAACGTCGACAGATGGATAGAGAGTCTTAATCGTTTTAGAAAATGATCTGAATCTTTTGCAAGTTAATACACCTTCATCGTTGGTTACGGAATTTAAAAGCAAAAAAGGAAGAATATTATAATCGGGCAAGGCTAACTATTACATACTCAACCTCGCTCCCTTAACACAGTTATTCATTCACTTGTTGTGGTAGTAAAAAATTGTCCCCACCGAACCAAATTTTTCATACCAATGTAGAATATCCAAATACTATTACTCAGTGTCTTTTAGCGAAAAAATTTAGAAAACTACAAAATTTCCTTATAACGACTTTTCAAAATAGGGTGCTATAAGCGGATTGATTGGAAAAGTGGAACAATGAAAACCATTTTCAATAGCGTTTGTCCTTGGGTCAAAGTACGTCTATGTACTAAATTTCATCAAAATATATCCAAAATGGCGACCAGGAGCTTAATAGACAAGTAGATAGATGGACAGGCAGGCTTAAACCATTTATTAGTAAAATCATTTTTTAAATCGATCGGGATAATAAAAGATGGGTCTATCTTAGGGCCTTCTGCGTGTTACATACGCACGAACTTAATAAACCCCGTACCACAAGTGGTGTGTAAAAGCAATATATATATATATATATATATATATATATGTATATATTACTTTAATCAGTTAAAATTAATATAATATGTGTACATATGCAATCTGTATTTGATAGTGATTGAAAACTTAATGAAATCATTTATTATTAATAAAAAAAAAAAATATTTAGTTAGTCATTCTTATGCATGCATTATTCAAGATGGTAATTATGCAAAATTGACGCAAAGGCGAATTCGAGAACCCTGCCATAGTTAGCATGGGGACAACAGCTTTGTACGTATATTTTGGTGTGTGTGAAAATATTTCAAAATTACTATATTTCACCTTATTGGTTTAAAATGTTAATTTTTAAAAATTCCTTTACTTCGTTTTTTGCTAATTTTATTTTGTCATTGTCACCATTTGTCTTATGCTCTTGATTTTATCGGTGTTTTATTGCTGTTTACATAATTTATGGTATTCCGATTTTTTTTTTATTTATCGTTATTAATGCATTATTTATACACATAATTTTAATGTCATAAAGTGATGACGATGACGATGATGCTGATGATAGAGACTGATAAGAATAATAATAATAATAATAAAAATAATGACTGGCTGTTTGCCAGGCAGTTTATTCATTTCGTTTGTAAAAACAATAATAAAAAAATACAAGCATTATGGTTCGTTATTACATTAATATAGAATGAAACGATCCAATTAGTGAATTATTAGTTGACTAATGGTATTTCAAAAATCATTATTATTACTAAAGTAAATACGAGTATAGAAGAGCTTTTTTTTGCCAAATATTACAGTAAGTTATTATTAATAGTATTTAAAATTTTTCTGCTTAAGAAGCATTAGTAGAACAAATAATTTGACCTAATAGTTCGTGTTTATAATTTATCAAAAGTAAAACTAGGAGAAAACAATAAAAAAAAGTAAGAAAATTAAATAATCATTGGCAACAAATTTGCTTATATTCTGAATTAAAAGATAAGGGCGTGGTACTCTCATCATCTCGCTGGGAACATCAAGTTATACATATCGTAAATTTATGCGTGTTAGCAAATTCTAACATCTAGCTGGAGATTAGGTTTTAAATAGATTAAGTCAACCGTAACCCCGTTTTTTATTCATTTATTTAAGTTTAAATTAATTTTACATTTGCAAACGAATGTGCTTCAATCATAATGACAGTTTCAGGTAGCTGGTTAATAATTATAACGTTGTCATGAATTTGCTAAAAATCTAAAGATCTGGGATTAATCAGTTGGAGGGCCCATTCGGCTATAAAGTCTATAAAAAGGAATCACTTCTCGAAAAGTGTTGTGAGAATGGATCTTGATAACAGAACCCTGTATTGGTCTAAGAAATCTGAGCAAAGATTGATTAATCATTCAACTAAGGCTTTCTAAATTATATTCTAAAAATTATGACTTTAAGAATTTTTCCCACGTTCGTATCCAAGTAGGGTATCCGAAATTCGAAGCAATTCGAATCTACTTCTCTTGTTTTTTTAATGATGGCAACATATTTTTATGTTACCCGATAGATGTAAACGTATAGAGCTTTAGCACATGTTTTAATGTGTAACAATCTATATATATATATTATAAATCTGTAATGCTTTTTCCAAAATATATAACCTTCTCGTTTTAACGCGATTTTATAAAAACAAGAAAACTTATAGCTTTACAAATTTGGTTGAGTTGGTTTTCAATTGTCAGTCTCGTCTTCTTTTTATCCATATTCTGTACGTATGTGTGCTTACGTTTTTTTCTGTGGTGGTTCATTCTTAAGGCGAATTAAAGCAATATTAAAAAAAACTCAATATCCCATAAACAAAAAAAAGGAAAAAGTCAACAAGTTATATTCGCCTTGGGCTAGACCATTGATGTGCGCCAGTATAACCGCCCAGAGCGTCAAATGTTG